GGAATAGGCACAGGCTTCTCACGGGAGAGCCGTATTACGTGTGTCAACTGTGGACAGATTTTGACTTTCGAAATTAAAGTGTTCAAAGGGTTTAAATATTAATTAAAAAATGTTTTAGCTAGGTGTGGTGGCTCACACCTGTGATCTCAGCACTTGAGAGACCGAGGCAGGAGATTTGCCATGAGCCTGAGACCATCAGAAAGAAGGGAGGGGAGAGAAGGGGAGGAGGGAGAGGCTTTGAATTGATTGATTGACTGATTTCACAAACTCCTACGCTGGGGCCCGAAGCCCTGGCACCAGAAGGGCAGCTACTGGATGTCCCCAGGAAAAGGGGAGTTCAGATCGTTTATTGGAAGCTGTATGTACAGGTGTACATTTCCTGGCTTTTGCTCATCTTTTCTATCATTTGGAACAGGGCTAAGGCAAGGGCAGAGAGAAGCTGAGAATTTTTCTCTTCCAGATTTTGCCGGTTCCTGGCCTTTCAGTAAAGCAGTGTGCAATGAGCCTCTGGTTCAGGTAGTGGAGGACCTGATCACTCAGCTTTGGACCTGTGACACTGGCTCCAGGGTCGCCACCTTTAAAGGCAAAGAATTGCTGTGATTTGAGTACCTAGAGCTTTGAGTTTCTAGCTTTGAAAGGCTGGGACCACAAGGCTCTAGTTATCAGGGCTTGAATGCTAAGCTCTGAGGTTTGGAAGCCTGGCTTGCAAGTTTCAGGTGTGTAGGTCTGTCAGCACTGAGGGAGCTACCTCTGTTTGTGATTTTTATTTGAATAGAGTAAAATGCCCCTCAGCCAAGTGTTATGACAGGAACATCCACAGGGGCTGCCCATACAGTTCTGAAATTTTCTGTATCTGTTGGTATATGGCACTCATGGAATTTTGGGTCACTACCCAAATTTGGGTTATCACCCCAATGAAGTGGCACTTGCCACCAGCTACAGTGACAGGGAGGGAACTGATGTGTGGAGGAATTGCCTCGTTTGGGATCCACCAGCAGGATGTGGACTCTGCCTCCCAGAGCTTCGCAAGTTGGCTCTGGGGCTTGGGTAGCAATGTCTATGGAGCAAGCAGGGAAAGGAGAAGACGTTTATGGGGCAAAGCCCAAGTCTTGTGGACTCACTGGTGAGACCCGAAGAATCTTCCTGCCTCCACCAAGGACGGAGACTTGCAAACATGGTTCTTCAGAAGAGTGGATAAGGCTTGCTGGGAACAGGTGCCCCCCCCAACACTGCCCTAGGCTCAGGACCAGGAGAGATGTCCATTTCAGGCCCCCATTGATTCAGTCTACTGCCCAGTTCTACAGGGCATGAGCTGTGGAGGGTCAGCACACCTGATGGGGTAGGGGCAGCTTCCTACCCTATATGCAACTGGGGACTCAGCCTGGTAGTCCCATGTTCCTGCTGTGTTTTGGGAAGGCCCTCTAGCAGCCTGCAGTGGGAAAAGGCTGAGATGGGATGAGGGGCGCCTGAGCTTGAGATATCCTGGCTCCTTGCTGGATTCCTTTCTGGGTAGGTCTTCTAAGCTCAGAAAACCTGGAAGAACTGGGATTTTGTAGGGGAGAATGTATACTATTCTTTTACACTGTATGAATATATGTTGTTGTTATTGGTTTAATAAAGAAGCTGATTGACCAGTAGCTGGACAGGATAAGGTTAGGCAGGAGAACCAGACTAAGGACACTGGGAAGAAGGGTGGAGCCAGAGGAGCCTCGAGAGATGCAGAAAGAAGCAAGATGAAGGAGTCATGTTGAAAGAAGGTACCGCCATGTGGCAGAAGGTAGATAAGAAATATGTGTTAATTTAAAATGTAAGAGTTATCTAGTAACAAGCCAGAGCCATCGGCCAAGCATTTATAATTAATAAGTCTCTGTGCATTTATTTTTAAAGCATTTTTGTCCCGATGACAAAAACTCTGTCTACAGGGGAGATATGTGGGACTAGGTTTTCTTTGAGAAAAGGCCTGACCTAGTTAGCTGCAGGCTCTGAGGTCTTGAGTACAGCTACAGCACTAATCAGGCTCCTGACCTTGGGGTCCTGACCTTGGGGGTAATGGTAGAGTGTGGGGTCAATGAGAATGGGGCCTTCTATTTGCCTTACTCCAGGTACTGAGAATGCTGTCATGTGCTTTGGGAATGGGAGACCACCTTCCCTTTGTGAATCAAGGACTGCTTGTCTCTTTCCAAGAGCAGATGGCCTCTCTGGGGAAGCAGCAGAGGCAGATGAGGGGCATGAAGGTGCAGGAGTAAGGCTCTGCTCAGGCCACATCACCTCCACGCAAAGGCTGTGAGAAAATAGGACAGCTACCTGGGCTCCTTGTGACTAGGGAGGTGGTATAGCTGAAGTTGGCTGCATGCTTAGTCCCCAGAACCTTTGACAACCTAACCAGGCAAGATCCACCTAACCAAAAATCTTATTTTATTTTAAAGATTTTTCATGCAATGTATTTTGATCATATTCTTTCTCCTCCCCCAACTTCCCAGATCCTCCCACTGACCCAACTTCAGATTCTTTCTCCCTCCCTTCCCCACACCTTAAACCAAAACAACAACAAAATAGTACACACACAAAAAAAAAACCAAACCAAACCAAACCAAACCAAAACAAAACAAAAAAACAAAAAGAAAACCATACAGTCCAGAATCTCTTTTTAAAAAATTGCACTGGGTCAGTGACTTTAATCCCATCACTTGGGAGGCAGAGGCAGGCTGATCTCTGTGAGTTCAAGGCCAGTCTGGTCTACACAATGAGTTCCAGAACAGCCAGGGCTACAAACAGACCCTGTCTCGAAAAAAAAAAAAACCCCAAAAAACTGATGAAATATAAAATTAGCCATTTTAACCTTTTTTAAAGTTATGACTATAAGTAAACACGATATAATCAATCCCAAACCTTTTCATCTTTCCAAACTGATATTGTTCCCATTAAAATACTAACTTCAGGGGCTGGAGAGATGAATCCGTGGAGGAGCAGAGTTCAGTTCCCAGCACCCAGCTCACCACTGCCTGTAACTCCGGCTCCAGGTTTTCTAATTCCCTGCATACACAAGATGCTCATAGCATGTACACACATACTTTAAATAAATATAAAAACAATCTTGCCAGTATGGTGGTGCACTTTCCCAGCACCTGAGAAGCAGAGGCAGGTGGATCTCTATGAGTTCAAGGCAAGACTGGTCTACATAGTGAGTTCTAGGCCAGCCAAGGGTACATAGTAAGACCCTGTCTCCACCCCTGCCCCCCAAATCTTTAAAATGTATTCACTTCCTATTTCTCCTGAGGTAGGGTAGAAAGGGAAAGTATGAGGTTGTGAGAAGGAAGAGGAGCCCCCTCACCCAGGAATTTGGTTGAAGCCTCTTACCTACAGAGAAGCAGGAATTCTGGCACAATTAACTGCTCAAGACCTTTCTCCCTCCTCAGCTATAAATCTGCAGTTTTCCAGGACTTTCATCAGAAACTTTATTTACAGGGAAAGGACACGTACAAAACTCCTTATGCAACCAGTGGCTCCCGGTTTTACCTTATCAGATTATAATTCCATCCAAGGCATGTCGGAAGCCACCCTATAATCTTATAATACACATGTACAATATGTAAGCAACCTTCTGAGATCTAAGTTGAGAGCCATCAAAATGGTGTATATAGCGAGTGCTAAGATTGTGACTCCCTTGAGGAGCTACATGTGGGTATATCTTTCTTAATATTCTCTTCTAAGTTTTGTGGTTGAAGTCTGTGTTAAAATATCTTTAATAAAACCTCAAATTTGATTTTACTAGTCCTGAAATTCTTGTCTGAGTCAAAGCCATGAATCCAGTTTGGCCTGTGTTACAGTCTCTAAGAGATAAAGGGACGTTCTCTGGCTAGGATGACAGCATGGAGTTTTATCTGTCCCCTCACCACTGACACTCCCTCTTCTGGAAACAACCTGTTATCCACTATACCGTAATTCTATTTCTATGAAGTTGATTCCTTTAGTGACCTCCCATGAGTGGAATCATGCACGATTTGTCCTTTATAAGTGGCTTATTTCACTGAGCATAGTGTCCTCTGGGGTTGTCCATGCTGTGACCTGGGACAGAGACCTTTTAAGGCTGTATGGATGGTTGATGTGTATTTATCCATCCGTGCACATCTGGGTGGTTTGACACTTGGGGCATGCCAGCTGGAGATTTGCAGTTGTGGGGTAGAGCCATAAGGCTGGGCCACCTGGCTCTTTGCCTTGCAGCGTCATTGGTGTCACCTGTCCCTCATGCCAGCCGTGCTCTCGGCCGTTATCAAGCCCAAACACCCCTGCAGCAATCTCTTCTCTGTCCCCTCAACACCCTCAATGCCCGTGGCTCTGTTCCAGGTTGCCCCAGCCAGCTCCGCAGACCTGTGCAAACTGAGCCAGTCGGGCACGAGGATATGTTGGGTACCTATGGGTTGCTAGCTCTCAGCTCGCGTGCCATGACCACACAAAGATGCAGTCAAGTCACAGCCATCGTGTTGGGGACTGCGGCCTCACCTCCACCTCACCGGACGGCAGGGCGCAGCCTCCCCGGTTCACTGGGGTCCTTCCCCTGCAAGAGAAACTTTCCCTAAGTCGCGACGGGGAGAATGGAAGGACCCGACGGCGTCCATGCTTAAGAGCTGTTGAGAATGTGGTGCACACGGTGTGACCCGTGTAAACTCGGGAGAGCTTGAGGAAAGCCACTCGGTCAACATGCCTTGCCAGGCTACAAACACCGCTGGCTCCATGGAGACATTCTGGGCTGCATTCACCTAACACCACTGGAGTTAAGGGACCGTCCGGAGCCGCACTGCAAGGACAGGCGGCGCGGGCCCAGGTCTCTAGACGACCTTCAGCCGCTGCGGGAGGCAGTGAACAGTCGGCTCGGCCGTAGACGGCCACGCCCACGTCCCGCCTTTTCCGTGGGCGGGGACAGAACCTGCCAACCAGGAGTTCCCGAGGCATGCAAATAAGCCTCCGCCCCCAGGGGAAAGGCGTTTCCCCAGACTTCCTGCTTCCTCCGTAGACGCCACTGCATAGTTTGGCCTTCCTCACTGACCGGCGGCGCTCAAGTCCGTTAGCTAGGCCGGAAGTGGAGACCCAAGCACCCTACCGGCAGAGCCGGAAGTGCGATAGGGAGGTGCAAACTGGCCGGAAGCCGAGCTCCGGACACGCCCACCTGCCGGAAGCGCCGGAGGTGTATCTCAAAACAGGGTTGCTCTTTGACAGGATCGCTGCGTAGGCGGACGGACGGGCGGTGTGGTCAGCGCGGAGGCTGAGGGCCGGAGTCGGCATGGCAGAGGGCGGGAGCCCCGAAGGGAGGGCTGGCCCAGGGCCCGCAGGTAACGTGAGCGGCGTGGGGTGGTGGGGAGGAGGGGGCGCTGCGTCTCGGGTCCAGTCAGAGTGGCCCTCGGGCGATCCGGCCCTGTGTCCTCCGTCCCCGTCGGCCAGGTCCGCGGAGCCGCACCCCGGGCCAGTAAGTGGGCGTCAGGCTTCGCGGGGCCCAGGGCGCGATCCCCGCTCTCGGCCTCTCGTGGACAGCCCCCCCCCCCCCCCGCGGCTTTTTTTTTCCAAGGTGGAGTTACAAGGCCAGGTGGAGTTGGCCTTGAAACTGCCACCCTGTTAGCCGATCCTAGTCTGCGATGACCCCAGCTGTGACATGGGGCACGGATCCTCTTCCAGGTCTGAGCGCACTGGTCGGGAAAGGTCCTCAGAGGTAGGCCCTCTGTAGGGCAGGCTCCTTTTCCTCATCCCGTCCGCCAGTCAGCGCATGGCCGAGATGGTGCATGGTAGCCCCTGTCTCCCCCCCACCCCCCTTTAACTACCGCGCTGTCCCCAGCCAGCCTGCCTGTGACACAGCGCTGACAGCGGCGGCGCTTGACCCACCTGCAGAGAAAGGCGGACGGTCGCCACCTGGCTTAGCATCTCCACTTCGCAGTGCTGCTACTGTGAGGCTGAGAATTCCCAGGAGAAGGAATTTCTGGTACGGAGTCTCCCACTGGGGTCTTTCTGAGACTGCCATGTGTGTCGTAGGTAACTTGCTGTGCCCATCTCTGGTTTTGGAGAGGCACTTGTTTTGTTCAAGGAACTCTCTTAGGTATCCAAAATCTCAGAAGGCCACACAAATGACAAACTCTTTTGTCGTTCCTCCCTCCATCTGGTCAACAAACTTTATTGATGGTCTACTGTTGGCTTAGCTCACCTGGGACTGTCAGGGTGACCTGAAAAGGCTGGACAAAACCTCTACCACCAAGAACTTTGGTTGGCATTGACTTTGTTCTCAGGGACAGACAAGATCTGTGAGTGGAGTCCCCTGTCACGCAGGTGTGTGAGATGGGTCAAAGGCAGTTATTTCTTAGTGTAGAGAAGGGTCCTGTGGAAGAAACAGTGGTGTTGGCCTCCTGCCTTCTCCTTTCAGTACCTGTTTTGTCAGCGTGTTTCCAGCTTGGGGTGGAGGGGAGGTCTTGAGTGCTATCTTGGGGGTAGTTGTGTTGTTATTGGATTAGATGATCAGACAAACACAAACTCCAAGTGGCCTTTGACTCTAGAACTGGGGGAGGTTCTGAAGGTGCCTTGGCCCAGGCTGGTAGTGTTGAAGATTGTGAGCAAAGGGAGGTCCAAAGACTTGATCAAGTCCTCTGGTGCCCGCTTGCTGACAGTTATCCCACACATCTGAATCTTCCCCAACTTTGGCTTTGAACTTTGATACCCATTGGTAACTGCATTGTACTTGCAATGGAGGGTCATGATTGAAGAAGGCCCTGGATAGGGCCTTAAAGAGTGGTTTCTAGGCTGGGCAGTGGTGGCACATGCCTTTAATCCCAGCTCTCGGGAGGCAGAGCCAGGAGGATCTCTGAGTTCAAGGCCAGCCTGGTCTACAGAGATCCAGGACAGGCACCAAAATTACATAGAGAAACCCTGTTTCGAAAAACAAAAAACAAAACAAACAAACAAACAAGAGTGGTTTCTTGCCCCATTCAGTGGACTTTCAGATCCTGGAGGGCAAGGACACTTACTCTTCACCTCGCTGTACCTTTAGGAAAGTCTTATATTCAGCAAAGACTCAAAGGACATTTTATTTGAATATGAAAACAACTTCAATATCTAGAAGAAGCCTGCTTTTGAAGGGACGTGCTTGGTCACATGCTAGGACACCATTACAGGGTGGGAGGTTTGTATCTCAGCAGTTAGAATTTGTGCTGTTTTTATAACATCTGTTGGTGCAATTTTTTTATAAGGCTTGTCAATCCCCTGGAGTTAAGTTTGGGCTGTGATACGAGCAAAGATGCAAGTGTTTCCAAGCAGGTGATTAATTATATAAATACTCTCCATTGACTACATCTTTCTCTCCACTTTTGATGCCTTGTTTTGTTGTTATTTGTTTTTGTTGTTGTTTAGTTTGGTGAAAGTTTTGTTATCTAGTATGGTAGAGTTTTTTTTTTTCATGCCATCATTCTTTTGTTTGTTTGTTTTCTGTTTTTCAAAGACAGGGTTTCTTTGGCTGTCCTGGATCTCATGCTGTAGACCAGGCTGGCCTTGAACTCACAGAGATCTGCCTGCCTCTGCCTCCCAAGTGCTGGGATTAAAGGTGTATGCCACCACTGCCCTACCCATTATTCTTGTTAAAACAAAAAGCAATTTTCCCTTATGTATATCTACAATTAAATTTTGGGATATTTTTGATATATCCAGTATCAAATTTCTGAAGAGACGGGCTACACTTGATTTATAGGTAACTTTGAGAATTTCTCTAATATTGAATCTTCTCATTCTAGTACATGGTATGTTTAGTTTTTCTATTTACTCCTCTCAATTTTTTGTTATATAGGCTGGATTTGTATTTGTGCATATATCTTTTAGTTTTCTTCTTTACTGAGGTATAATTTTTTTCTCTGTGTATGTGTGCACATGTATATGTGGAGGTCAGAGGTCATCATTTAGTGTTATCCTCACTCTGCACCTTACTTTTGAATCGAGGTCTCTCACTGCACATGGAGCTTACAGATTTGGATTTAGCTAGGTTGGCTGCTAGCCAGCCCAGGCATCCACAACCCTGTCTCTGCCTCCCCTACCCCCAGTAGAACTATAGGCATGTGCAGATGGTCTTGGCTTTTTATACGAGTGTTGTGGATCTGAGCTTAAGGGCTTGTGTTTGCATGGCAAGTACTACCAATTGAAACATCTCCCCATCCTCTTGAAGTGTAATTTTTATACAAAATGTGTACCTTTGAGATTTATTTCCTTTTCATTGCTATCCTAAAATAGGATAACTCTAAAGAAAAGAGACTGATTTAGTTCAGTCTTGGAGGCTGGCTACCATGGTGCAGGTTCTGATATAGGCTCCTCACCTTTCCTATGGCACCTCGAGGCAGGCAGCAGTGGGAGAACTGTGGTCTCCAGGCTAACCAGGAAGCCAGAGACTAGGTGGGACTGGTCTCAAGCTCTTATAATTACCCTCCAATGAGAACTAGCCAGGATCCCGGGAGAAATTCTTCAGTCCCGCAGGAAGGTACTTTCCCCTGACCTGTGACCTCGTGTGATGCCGCACTGGTTAAGGGTCTCTGTTGTCTCCCAGCACTAGCATACTGGGGACCACGCCTCTAACACATGGACCTCTGTGGATACAGTAGTACTCTGCTGAGTTGTTCTTATCTAGATACCCTTGTTGCTATTTCTCGGAGCAGCATGGTAGGGAACTCACCTACCTTCCAGGTAATAACCCTTGTTTGGTCCTTGGCTTTTGGCTAACCAGCTGTCTTTGTAGTAAAGGAGATGGCTACCATTCTCCTTTCAGATGCCCAAATTTAGAGGTGTTCTTACGTACTTGGGATAAATTAGAGTAGTTACAGGCTAGATTTTTTTTGGGCATAATATTTTAAATTTTAATTTGGTAGTACTTTTGGATCTTCTATGTTATGAAGTACTGTGGCTCATTGTTCCATTGTTCCCTAGTCCCTCACATTTTTTCTTTTCTTTTCAGAAAAAAATTCTTATCAGACTTGGTGTCAGAAATGTGTCAATTTGATAAGGGGAACTTTACAGCTTGCTTCTATGAATTATTTTCTGGGGATTTGAAAGTTCCTGTGTGGCCAGGGAGGAAGAGCCACTGCAGAAGGCCTCCCATTTGCTTGGCCTTGCTAATGGCCTCCCACACTGATAGGGGCCCTCTCTTCAGTGCAGGTCCTAACCTGAAGGAGTGGCTGAGGGAGCAGTTCTGTGACCATCCCCTAGAGCACTGTGAAGATACAAGGCTCCATGATGCAGCCTATGTAGGGGACCTCCAGACCCTCAGGAACCTATTGCAAGAGGAGAGCTACCGGAGGTGAGCATCCCTGCTGGGGCTGGTACCAGGCATCGGCCTGTGGGTCTTCAGGAGGCTGACATTTGTGGTTTGGATTGCAGGTAAGACTGATGCTACAGGACTACATCTTGATTTCAGAGGAGGAACAAAGGAAGAATTATTGGTGGCCAGATACTGGGGCAGGGGTCCCTGGGTCCAAGTCTGGCCCTGTGATTGACCCTTGTGTTTTCTGGCAGCTTGTTCTCGTTGGGCATTAGTTTCCTCAGTGTTTTTCTTGAAGACGGTGTTAGAGATGTCAGTAGTGGCCTTGCCCCTCCAAGCCCCCCATGACTCTTTAAAAAACAAAAAGGATGTTTTTTTATTTGAAACAGTCTCACCATGTAGCCTTGGTTGGATCAGAACTCATTATGTAGACCAGGCTGGTTTCAAATTCACAGAGATCTGACTGCCTCTGTCTCCTGAGTGCTAGGATTAAAGGTGTGTACCATTATACCTATTTTATTTATTTTAATTGTGTGTGTATGGGGGGGTGGGGGGGTATGTACATATAATTACAGGTGGCCACAGAGGCCTGAAGAAGTCATCGTTGGAACTGGGGATACAGGTGATTGTGAGCTACCTGATGTGGGTTCTGGGAATTGAACTCAGGTCCTCTGGGAGAGTGGCACATGCCCTTAACCATTGAGCCATCTCTCTGACCCTTTTCCTGTGACTCTTTATCCTGAGTAGTTCTTTTTCGACAGCCACTTTATTGACATTCATTTGATGTTTTCTTTTTCACTTCTCAGGTCTGTAGTGACCAGCCATAGGCCAGCTGACTTCCCACTATAGGGATATGGCGGCTGCCATCTCCTTTGTTTTCTTTTCCTGGCCTCTTGCCTCTTGATTACAAAACCCTTCCGGTCACTGAGTCCTGGCTCTTCCTTTAGAGCAGAGAGTCTTGCTGTGTCTCCCTGTGTGGGATGCTGGGAGAGCACCCATCATTCTCTCTGGAGGTTCCTTGAGTACGTTGTGTGAATGACGTCTTAACTAGATATTGAATACAACGGACACTGGCACTTTATGCTTCTGTGTTTCTACTTTGCCTTGAGGAGTGGATGCAGTTAATTGATGGAAGTCCCTGTAGGAGACCTACACTACTGCTTTTGTGTAGACAATTCCCAAGCAAAGGATTCCTAACCAGCCAGGAGTGTGTTCCTTTCTTATCCTTCTAATGTCTTAGCATTATTTCATAGAGCACATGTCAGTATTTAAAAGCCAAAACACTAGAGGGCTAGAGAGATGACCTAGCAGTTAAGAGCACTTGTTGCTCTCACAGAGGACCCAGATTCAATTCCCAGCACTCACACAAGACATCCTCTTCTGATTTCTGCAGGCACCAAGCATGCATGCGGTACAAAGACTATGTGCAGGCAAAACATTCATCCATGCAATAAAATGAATAAATCTAATAAAACCAAACACAGAAATTAAATTCATTTAATGTGTCAACCCTGAAAGACTTAAGTACACAGATATAGCAGTAGAATGAAAGAGTTCAGAAAAGTTCTTATTGTGCTCCCCCCTGCCCTCTCCCTGTCCCCTCTTCTCTCTTCTCTCTCTTCCCTTTTTCTCTTTTTTTCCCCACTTCTTCCTCCCCACTTGGCCCTTATGTAGCTTTGTAGCCCAGGCTGGCCTTGAACTCCTGATCCTTCTGTCTCTGCCTCCAGCTCCTGAGTTCTAGATTATTGACCCATGCCACCACACTGGCTCCTTTTTTCTTAAACTCAGGGCTCATGAATGTCCTCTTCCTTTAACATATTTTCTTTTGCTGTTTGTTTCTCTGGTGGAGAGTTCTGGAGGGTTCCTGGGCTTTATTAGCCCCTATCAGTCCATGTGTGACTGGAGGAGGAACACCAGGGCTTGCTTTAGTGAGACACTGCCTATGGCATGTTCCTTAGTTTCTGCTTCGGTCAGTGGACCTGGAGGGTCAGTGGACAGTGTAGCTAGTTATATGTGGTCATATTGTCTGAGAGCTGCGTCTGGGCAGTTTGGCGCCACTGCTGGCTGAGACTGCAGCCCTTGTAACCTTAATAATCTAGGCTCTCAGTTATTGTGGGTCAGGGTAGGAGGACAGAGATTACTACTACTGATTGTCTTTATCTGGAGAGGACTCCAGCCTTGGACCTTTAGAGGTGGTCACTAGTAAGAGGGTGTGCATGGCCCTGCCTGTCCTGCTCGTGTCCCCGATGGATCTATATGTGTTTTGTAGAGGAACAGGCTTTGGAATGTGGGTTAGGACTCTAAGAACTAGAAATCTCAGTGTTAGTGCTGATTATTCTGCTGAAGCCTCTAGTTCCCTTGTCAGTGGGCCCTGGATACCTCTTTTCTCTGCTCAAGTTCAGCAGCAGCAATTGTGGAAGCATTTCAGGACACAGAACACAAAGGGCTGGAAATGTAGCTCACGGGTAGAGTATTTGCATAGCATGTACAACATCCTGGGTTTGATCCTCAGCACCATGGGAAAGAAAACAGAACACAATGAAGGTATTCTAACCATGAGGATTGGCTACCTAAATGGCTGTCTTTCTTGGGAGCCTCTGCCAGGGTGAGAGGAGGGAGAACAGCTCGTTTGCCTAGGGTGACTCTCATAAACTCCCTGTCTTCTTCCCGTATAGCCGCATCAATGAGAAGTCTGTCTGGTGCTGTGGCTGGCTCCCCTGTACACCACTGAGAATTGCAGCCACTGCAGGCCATGGGAACTGTGTGGACTTCCTCATACGCAAAGGGGCCGAGGTGGACCTGGTGGATGTCAAGGGGCAGACTGCCCTGTATGTGGCTGTAGTGAATGGACACCTGGAGAGCACTGAGATCCTTTTGGAAGCTGGCGCTGACCCCAACGGCAGCCGGCACCACCGCAGCACTCCTGTGTACCATGCCTCTCGAGTGGGTAGGGATGACATCCTGAAGGCTCTCATCAGGTCAGTACTGCCGGGTCTGCAGCCATTTCTCCTTGTTCCTGTACTTGCATTTCCTGCCTTAGGAGTGTGCCTGTTAGAGGACTTGGAAGGACTGCTTCATTAGTGCTCTTCATTGCTTTCTGACCCATGATGCCTTACACTTTTAACAGTGTAAACTTTCAATGTAATTTACCTTCATTTATAGCTTTAGCCATATCCCCTAAAGTTTCTTAATCTTTAAATATTAAAAATGTTATCATGTGCATGCGTGTGTGTGTGTGTGTGTGTGTGTGTGTGTGTACTAGAGGTGGGCATCAGATCTCCTGGAGTTGGTACAGGCGGGTGTGTGTGTGTGTGTGTGTGTGTGTGTGTGTGTGTGTGAGAGCCATATGATGTGGGTGCTGGGAACTCAACTCTGGTCCTTCGCAAGTGCAGCAAATGCCTAACTTCTGAGTCATCTCTCCAGCCCCCAAAGCTTATTTTCTTCAATACCTGTAGTTGAGGTTGATTTCTTCTTTGTTCTTAGAGGTATGGAAGAAGATTCTGTAATAAAGTGAAGTTTTTCATTATTAATGCCGCTCACACACATTGTTGCAAATGCTTGCATGGTGTGTTAGCCTAAGTTCCTCTCTTCGGGATTCCCCTTTTTTCTTTGCCATCAGATCTGCCAAAATTTAGAGAAACGTGGAGTCTGTAATTACTGTTGTACCTTTTGTCAGTTGCCTCTGCTGCCTCTGCATTTCAATTAGGTTTGCTCTGAGTGCTGTGACTTAATTATATTAATGTTACAGTTACTTTTGTTTGAACCCGCTTGTGTTCTCTCTTTTCATATTTTCAGTAACATCTTTCTACCATAGATATCTTGTTCATCCCTTACTGTGGAGGCCAGCTAGTTCTAGGTTAGGCCAGTGTAGCTTAGCTAGCTAGCTATGAGTGAGAGTGTTTTGTATAGAAAAGAGCAAGTAAAAGTTCTGTTGTTGAAGACTGCCATCAGTGGGGTCAGATGAGTGAGCATTCTCGCCTGGTACAGAACGTGGTTTCTCAACCAGGTTCTGGAAATAGAGTCTTATATACTAATGAGCTATAAACTTGGTATGGGAGAAGATAAATGATCAAGGAGGTTTTAAATTGATAAATGATCAAGGAGGTGATAAAGTTTGGGCTTCAAAAAAATCATTTAAGGGTTTCTAGCATGATGATCTAAGCTACCTTAAATTCATGCCTTTGCATCTTAAAGAATTTAAGGCATTAATGTGGAAATGTTTTGTTTTGTTTTGTTTGAGATAGGGTTTCTCTGTGTAACAGCCCTGGCTGTCTTGGAACTTACTCTGTAGACCAGGCTGGCCTCAAACTCACAAAGATTTGCCTGCCTCTGCCTCCTGAGTGCTGGGATTGAAGGCATGCATCATCACTGCCTGGCTATGTTTTTGAATTTTTTATATTTATGTGTTTGTGTGTGTACATATGCACGCTCATGCATGTTCCACAGTATGACTGTGGAGGTCAGGGGACAACTTGTGGGAGCTGGTTTTCTCTCAGTTGTTTGGGTGTGTAGAGATAATAAAAGCAATAGAGAAATTTAGAAAATATTCAGGATTAAAATGAACTGGTTCCTGTTCAGTATATTTTTATAAGTTTCAAAGGCTGTCTTTCCTACAGCTCAATTGGTACCAGATTGTCACACTGTCACACCAAGATTGTAAACAATTTGGAAGACATGTCTCCCATGAAGAAGGAAGAAATAATTACTATGTGAGATGCAGATTTCCTTGTTAGTTGAAAAGTGCAGTGAGTGAGGTGGATCAGTTTCCTGCTTGTAGAGTGTTCTCCTCAGTGTCTTCAGGCCTGGGCTGCCTAAAGAAGCACTTTTGATTCCAGGTCCTTTGGACAGACACCTGAAGTGCTAGAGAACCATTATGAAGCAGGACAGCTGGCTGAGACTGTTGGCCATCTGTCGTGTAGGCAGGGACAATGATGTTATTCCATCTTCTCTGGATCCTGACTATTAGGTCCCCACATGTTGAGTCCCCTCATCATTGCTTCCTGTATGTTGTCATTTCCTGTTTCAAGTGAAATACTCAGGTGATGACACAGTTTGTGAGACACACAGAACTGTCTGGGGCCAGGGAGGGCTTAAGTAGACAGGTGACAGGTGACTGTTTGCCTACTTTAGAGGCTCCTACTGGGCAGGAATCTTGCAGACGTGAGTCCTGCTCTCGTTGACTATTACTCCCGCTTTCCTTTCTGATCCTTTGATGACAGTGGTGTCGGGATTTTCGTTGTAAAGTTGCTCCTACCTTTGTAATTTGTATTTTGTGGGGAGACGTTTTGCCCCCATATATATGCCTTGTGCTTCATCTCAAATTTTTATTTGTTAGTGTAGACTTAGGGTTTCTTACCTTGTTCAGGGGGAGTTACAATCCATCATTGTTGCTTACTTTGATGATCACATTAATGTTACTGGTGATTTAAGCCAGCTCTGTGTTCTTTTGACATGTCCTTACTGTTTTGTGAGCAGTTCCTTACGTTCTTACATAACAGGATAGTCTAAGCTCAGGTAGACTTTCCTGAGTCGGTCCTGGAATAAGTCCTCCCAGAGTCCAGTCTTCTTTCAGTGAAGAAACAAAGATCTAAGCTGGGCAGAGTAGCACATGCCTGTAACCTAGCTATTTGAAAGCTTGCCACCAGACTGTGTAACATAATGAGACTCTGTCTCAAAAAGAAAAGAAACCAAGATCTGAAGTACTCTCGGGAGTGTGTTCTACTCTGGAAGCATTGTTCCATCCCTGGAACTGGGGGCGCGTGTCCCTATCACATTTCTATTCCCGTTATACAGTGACTGGAGTTAATCTGCATCTCTTACTGCCTCCCCTCACTCCTCCTTGCCCCATTTGGGCTCCACTGTCTTATGCCAAGCCCCTGTCCTTAGCAGGTACCTTGCTCACTTTGTCAGGACTCTGCCCCCTGAGCCAGATTGCCCTCCTTGTTGTAGCTGGCTGACCCCTGGTTAGAGTAAAAGAGATAGGTAGTTTGTACTTGACCTCAGACAGCTCTAAATGCCATATATTTGGGTGTCTGTGGAGCATACCAAGGGCAGGCGAAAAAGACTGGCTGTGGGTCCTTCAGCACCTGCACCTGGTGAGAGATAGTCCTCCCACCTGGACTGTCCTTGGGAGTCAGGAATGGTCAGCTCTAGGAATCACTTTCTAACTGCTGTGCCCCTGCCTCCTGGGCGGGGCCGCATGATGCTGCCCTGCTGGCAAGCCATGCTTCCTGTCGTAGGTCCTTAGGTTCTTGCAATTGAATCTGATGCTGGAGTATCCCTGCCATTCCCTGAGCCTGAATGTTAGACTGTCGGAAAAGAGGACTCATCATGTCGGGAGCACAGCATGGCTGACCAGCTGTGGATGCACTTGGGTTTGTTGGTTCCTCTTTGCTCTTAGGTTTCAGTGGTTGCTTCACCATGTGAAGTGTTTACATGGCTCCAACTGTGGTCTGTACAAAAGGTGTATTGAAAAGGTCTAGCCTCTAACCTTGTCTCGTTGTCCTGATCTGTCCCTCCCCTCCAGGTAAGCAGTTAGGTCTGTGATTTGTCCTTCACTATTACAAATGAGTAAATGCATGTGTGTGGCTGAGTAGTTTATGTTTACACATGGCAGACCTGTAAAATAAGTATATACGGCACACATTCTTATCTCACCTTTCTCACATATTCATGTGCTGTGGAGGACATTCCAGAGCAGTATAGAGCAGTATTCCTCCTTCCTTCCCTTCATAGCTTCTCAGTTCTGCTTCTTAGGGGTAAACCAGTCGGTCCCTGTTGGTGGTTTCCTGGCTCAGCTGGTAGGAACAATGCCTTAATGAATTGCTTTGTGCACACATCTTAGCTTTGCAAATGTGTCTTGGGAACAAGTCCCAAGAAGTGTGACGGATGAGTTCAAGGGTAAGTGCATGTGTAATTTTGATAGAATTGCCAAATTTCTCTCCACAGGGATTGCTCCATTTCAGTTGCCATAGCAGTGAGTGATAGTTTTGTTTCTGTTACAGCACAGCCAGTCAACATGGGGAGCTTTCCAACCCTACAGGCACAAAGTAGAATCTTAGGGTACTTTACAATTCAACAGCATTTTATTTATCCGTGTGTGTGTGTGTGTGTGTGTGTGTGTGTGTGTGTGTGTGTGTGTGTGTGAGAGAGAGAGAGAGAGAGAGAGAGAGAGAGAGATGGGCACTTCATGGCATGGGTGTAGAAGTCAGAGGACAACTTGCAGAAGTTGGTTCTTTCCTTCTGAAGTGTGGGTATCGGGGATTGAACTCAGACCATCAGTCTTGACAACAAGGGACTTTACCCACTGAACCATTTCACCAGCCCCAGGTGGCAAATTTGACCTAAATAATGGCCCCTAGTTTCCATATGGTTTTATAGTTATGTAGCACGAATTGCTAGAAAGTCTTGTTAATAAAATCAAACCTGAAGCCAGGTATTGGGGTGAACGCTGGAGATCAGAGAAGCAGAACCAGCCACAGCCACCTCACCTTGCCAGTTCCTCAGCTGATCCTGTTTCCTCAGACTGGAAGCCTCTGAGGCCTCATCCAGAATCAATCTCAGCTGAACTGCTGCTCAAAAGCCTAAAAGCTTAACCAGCCAAAAGCTTCTAGTTTCTGGTCTTCACGCCTTATATAACTTTCTGCTTTCTGCCATCACTTCCTGGGATTAAAGGCTCACTTCCTGGGATTAAAGGCGTGAGTGCCACCATTTTCTAGCCTCTGTATCTAGTGGCTGTTCTGTTCTCTGAGCCCAGATAAGTTTATTAGGGTGCACAATATTTTGGGGAACACAATACCACCGCATAGTTACTTGTAAATTCTGATCTATTTGGAATTAATCTTGTGTGCACTGTGATGAATGGACTCAACTTTATCTTTTCCCATATGGATTTCCAATTGTCCTAGGGGAAAAAGTATGAAAAAGTTCACCCTTCCCCTTTAAGATAGTTCCTTACTGTGCATACTTAGTTTCTGCTTGCAGTTGGGTCTGTTGTAAGATGTTTTGTGTGTTTACATGGGTCTGCTGGCTCGTCCACATGCTCCTGTTACATAGTTTTATAGATCTTTATACCAAGCCCTTCTTATGGTGGAGCTATTTCCTCTGCGTTGTTGCTTTGCTTTTCATCTTCCAGATGAACTTTAGAACCAACGTATATAGTTCCAGGGTCCTTTGTAGTTAGCTTCAGTAGTTCAAGAACAGTGTTTTCATTCATAAAATTGACTTAGGGAAAAGTCATGTTATTCTGAGCTTCTTCTAGTGTTTGATGTGACTTTCCATTTTCTTAGGTCTGCTCCTGTAACTCTGAGTTGTTATCTTTATGCTGTATAGATCATTTTAAAAATTATTTTGCTGCCATAAGGGCTATTGCTCTTCTTCCTAATCTTTAAACTGGGCTTTTGTGTGTGTGTGTGTGTGTGTGTGTGTGTGTGTGTGTGTGTGTGTGTATGTATGTATACGTGTGTGTGTGTGTGTGTGTGTGTGTGTGTGTGTGTGTGTGTGTGTGTGTATGTGTGTGTGTGAAGGCTGTCATTTCACAGTCTGCTACTTTAGTGAATTATCTTACTGCTTGTTGTTTATTCATTCCTTGTAGGCCTCTTTGGATTTTGGAATCCTTTCCTCTGAGCCTAGAAAAAGGTCTATGTCTTCTTTCCAGTCCTGTTTCTCTGACTGCCTTCCTTTGCCAGTTACACTCCTGTTTGCAACATCAGTGACAAGAGGCCAGCAGGTGGAGGGTCTGTGTTGTGCTTCCCTTGGAGCAAGGGGCACCTCTAGTCCTTCCTTGTGAAATAAGATGATGGTTTCTGGCTTGAGAAAATGTATTTTATCATTTTTAAGGAAATAGCTGTCACTTTCTATTTCATAGAGTATTTTAAAACATGCATAACAGTTGGCTTTTGCCCTTTTTGCATTATTAGTGATAATCAGTATTTTCTTTTAGATTCATTAATACAATATATTATAACATTATGAGTTTTTGGTACACTGCTTTCTAAATATATGTTCGGATTTTCTTTGTTATAATAATTTTTTGCTTATTGAAGATTTTGAAATTGAGTTGGGTTATTGTATTAGTTTTACAATACATTTGAAAGTTTTTCTTCTCTTACCTCTGAAATTGTAGTCTTGGAATTACTTTATTTTTAAAGATCTGAAAGACTTCCCTTTGGAATTGGTGTGCAGGAAGTACTGATACTTTAGTCATCCTGGGTCATCCTTTAGTCATCAGGGAGATTAGTTTCCTATCCTTCTTAATACCAAACTCTGTAGTCTCGGCACACAGACAACTTAAAATACAACTCTTCTGTAGGTGTGTGTAACTGCTGGAATCTATTGTCTAGGCAGTAAGGACAGGAAAGTGACTGTGCATGTTCACTATAGGCTGAGTTTTTCCCTCAGTACTTTTGACTTGTAGTTAGTTGAGTCTTTGGGTACAGTGCCTGCAGATAGAGAGGACTGGCAGTGTTTGTGACCTGTACAGTCTCCAGAGGCTCCCCATGTGACTGTTGAATGCCTTCCTTGGGGTGCTGGACATTCTTTGTGGTCTGAGTTTGACTTATTATGACTTATTTTTCTCTTCCTATAGGTATGGGGCGGATGTTGATGTCAACCATCACCTGACTCCTGACACCCGGCCCCCTTTCTCAAGGCGGCTTACTTCCTTGGTGGTCTGCCCTCTGTACATCAGTGCTGCCTACCATAACCTTCAGTGCTTCCGGCTCCTCCTGCAGGCTGGGGCAAATCCTGACTTCAATTGCAATGGCCCTGTCAACACACAGGAATTCTACAGGGGCTCCCCTGGGTGTGTCATGGATGCTGTCCTGCGCCATGGTTGTGAGGCGGCCTTCGTGAGCCTGCTGGTAGAGTTTGGAGCCAACCTGAACCTGGTGAAGTGGGAATCACTGGGCCCAGAGGCAAGAGGCAGAAGGAAGATGGACCCTGAGGCCCTGCAAGTCTTTAAAGAGGCCAGAAGTAAGTGGCCTGAGCTCAGTGCTGTCCCGTGGTCTGGAGTTGATTGAACCAGTGAGATGTAAAGTAACTAAAAGGAAGACGGCCTGGAGGAAGGGCTCAGCTGGCGAGAGCACTGGGCCAGGCTCACAGCTGCCCATGGCTGCAGTTCAGGAGGCCCTCCTCTGGTTTCTGCGCGCACTGCATGTGTGGTGCCCGGACATACGTGCATGCAGAACCCCGTACACATGAGAACAAATAAGTAAATCTTAAATAACAAAACAATAACCCCTCCGAAAGGAATTCCAGCCAAGCACTTGATGAGAGCCCTCGGTCGGGACCAGTAGTTCTCCAGAGGACAGCCTTGGGTGTTTCGCCCTCTTCCCTCCCTCCTCCCTCCCTCCCCAGGGCTGGGATTGCAGTGTGGGCCACTCCTCTCCATTTCTTTTTTTTTTTTTTTTTTTGGTTTTTCGAGACAGGGTTTCTCTGTGCAGCTTTGCGCCTTTCCTGGGACTCACTTGGTAGCCCAGGCTGGCCTCGAACTCACAGAGATCCGCCTGGCTCTGCCTCCCGAGTGCTGGGATTAAAGGCGTGCGCCACCACCGCCCGGCCCCTCTCCATTTCTTTGGGAGAGCGAGTCCTTGTGCTGTCACGGCAGGTACTTTACCCTAAACTCTCCCCAGCCCTGGATGGTTATTTTGACATTCCTAAACTCCTAAAGCTGATAACCAAAGATCCACAGAAGTAGATGTTTGCTTTCAAAGTTCTTAGAATTATATTCTCTAACTTTTTTGCTCTGATTTTTGACCCCATTCTTAGCTAATGGTTTCTTTTTCACATTTTTTCCTTTTCATTTTTTTCCCCTTAATTTCTTAGATCATTGTACCACGTGATGGGTTTCATGTCATTTTCTTTAAAAATATTTTTAATGTATCTATTTATATGTGTGTGAGAGAAGCATGCACATGCCATAGCATGCATGTAGAAGGCAGAAGACAACTTACAGGAGTCCACTCTTTCTTTCTGCCACATGGATCCCACGGGTTGGTAAGCGTGGAAGTAGCATTCTTCCCTCCGAGCCCTCTGGTTGGCCCATCACGGTGTTTTCACTCATGGGTCGTTATGTTTCTTTCTTGCTCATGTTTGCCTGTCACTTGTCGCCAGGCCGGGGGTAGCTCAGCAGGAATGCAACCACATTTGCCTTCTCTGCCCTTCTTACCCCTGCCTTTCTCTTCACATGTATTTTTCTCTTTTTAAGATTTATTTATTATGTAAACAGTGTTCTGCCTGCCTGTATGCCTGCACACCAAAAGAGGGCACAAGATCTCATTACGGATGGTTGTGAGCCACCATGTGGGTGCTGGGAATTGAACTCTGGTCCTCTGGAAGAGAGCCAGTGCTCTTAACCACTGAGCCATCCCTCTATCCCCTCTTCACATGTGTTTTAATGAAGTTATAAGCTCATTTTCTAGAGCCCTTTCTTTTTCAGTTCCACTCAAATAGCCTTAGAGTGAGTTGTGTGGTAATCCGTTTTTGTTAAAATGAAATCTGGAGTTTGCTTATTTGTGTAATGGGATTTGCCAAGGAATTGCTAAGTCAGTGTCAGGAGAGTTTGAACTTTACCTGTGCTTGCATTTGCTGTCAGTACCCTCTCTGGAATTCAGAAATCAACCTGTGTGTCTGTCCATTTCCTGCTGTCTTGTCAGAGGACATCTGAATTGATTGTCCTCGCTCCCTTATTTCTCGAAGAACATTGATATCAGTGTGTTTTTGTCGTCTATACCCATGCCAGTTCACGGAAACGTGTTCTTGGTCAGCCTTTCTCTAAGTTGCAGGCTGACGGCCAGGTGGGAAGCAGACTGAAAGAATGAAGCTGCTTGTGTCCACAGCTTTTATTGTCACCTTCTCCTCCTGAAGCAGGGGTTTGGCTGTGTCTCTGAACTGGAGCAGGACTGTCAGCCTAGTCTCTGAATTCAAGTCCTGCACACTTGGTGTCCCCAGGCCTCCTTGCCCCTGCTGGGACAGAGCAAGAGTGCAGGTCATTTGCTCTCATCTGTGGGCTCTCCTGTGGGCAGGTTAGATGGAACAGATGGCAAGGCCTCCTTGCCTCTGGGACCTCCTTGGCTCTGAGATTAGGAAGTTGTGTCCACTGTGGTTGGTCAGCTTTGGGCCTTTAGAACTAGGCTAGACTAAACCTTTTCCCTTCACACTCTCCAGGTATTCCCAGGACCTTGCTGAGTTTGTGCCGTGTGGCTGTGCGAAGAGCTCTTGGCAAATACCGACTGCATCTGGTTCCCTCGCTGCCGCTGCCAGACCCTATAAAGAAGTTTCTGCTTTATGAGTAGGATTCAGATGCAGTGTTGGCTGCCGTGAGGACTCCGATCATCTGCGGTGAAGTTGACACAGACTCCTGCATACTGTGAACTGGGTCCTGCGCTGCCGGCTTGTTCCCTGGCTGTCTGTGAAGATGAAACGTTGGATTGTGGTTCCGTCTCAGGTGCTTGGGCCATCGAACACTCCTTGAGTCATCGTCAACCGAGAGGCGCATACAAACTTACTTTTGTTCTTCAATATCTCTGTTTTGGATTTGTACTGTTATATGTTAATGAAATGGGCTGTGAAATGTGTGCAGTGTGGGGTGAGTTTGCAAGCCTCGTGGTAGCCCTGGTGGGGAAAGCTTGTATTTTCCAGAGTTATGCTTCTATTTATGTTCCTACTTTGCAATTGGATTGTTCTCTTAAGTTCTGATATCCAAACAAGAAGTTGTGGTAAGAAAACATGCAGGGAGCAGAGATGCAGTTCCTGCACTTGCTAGTCTGTTTTTCTGCCCGCATTTGTCTGTCTGTGCTGTCAGATGCATAGCCCTTCTTGCCGCTGCCACACCCTCTCAGGAGTATCTTCCTCCAGGATGGTTTCTTGGCTGCAGACACTGCCTCCAGGGAGGTCCCAGCACAGCCTCTGCAGTGTAGCACCTGTCCTGGTAGGGTTTTCTGATGGATGTCTCACCCTGGGGATCTTCAGATTGTGATTCCCTTTAGGAGGCCCACCTGGAACTAGCTGGGAAGTGACCGCCCACATTCAGACCAGGGATCATCCCAATAGCACTCACTGCCAGTCCTCCCAGGATAAGATGACACTGGGGTGCTCCATGCAGAAAGTGGGAACTGTATCGGCCACCTGGGTGGCTCCAGGCTCCAGCTGCTTGGTGCCCACCAGGCTGTTCCTCCCTCTTTCTGGTCCAGTGCCTTTGTGGGCACTCCTAGAGCTCTTTCCCCGTCTTGCCCAGGGTTGTTGGTGAGCGAGAGAGATGAGCTTGTTGCAGGTGTGAGGGTCATGTGCACGTGGGTCAGGAACTATGCATTACCTTGAGCATCCTCAGGTTGCTCCTGTTTTGGTAAAGTTGTATTTTGTCGTTTTGAGCCTCTTAGGACTGTTGTATGGATCTGTGCTGATTGTAGACTTGAGAATATTTAGGCACAAGCAGATGTTAAATCTGTTTAGATTTTGGCCGTAAAAGAAATCTAACTTGTAATGATACTTTACTGTTGTACCATTGTGTGGCTTAGCTGACCAGACGGACAGTGATGGTCTTTGTATTTTGTGGATGGATTTCCAAACCCCGTCCTAGTGTCTCAGAATGGCCCTGTGCAGCAGCAGCAGCACCAGCCGATCCAAATGCACTACATGGAGTTCTAGTGGGCCTTGCCCAGCCCTGGCCAGTGAGTACTGTCTCTGGGGAGAGAGTGAGCTGGGCCGGAGCCTGCTCCTCCCCAGCCTTCCCCAGCTGTTCTGTAGGTGGCCCAGGCCTCAGCTCTTCACTGGGCCATGAGTAGCTTCCCCTGTGCTAGGCTTTTCAGAATCTCAGCACTGTGAGGTTCTGCTGCTTGTTCAAAACTTCCAGCTGGTGAACCTGAATGTGAAATGGCATTGGTGCTGACTGAGGACATTCTTCCTTGTTTCCAGTAGCACTGTGAAAGCACCACGTTTGGTTGTTACCAAGGATGAGGTACAGGGTAGGAAAGAGCAGCACTATTGCCGTGAGCAGCTCCGGTTCATGAGAGGCACCATGGGAAGTTGATGTGGCCTTGGTGAGGACTGCCGCTTTACTTGGCAGACTTGAGCTCTTGAGTACCTGGGTATCTAGCATGCAAATGTGTCAGACCTGATGAAACTACTGCCTTCTGGTTGAGCTGGCCCTGCTCAACCAGAGGGAAGGAGCCTGAAGGCTGTCCCTGCTCATCGGAGGGGTGTCTGTGTGATGGTTGCTATTCCTGGGGTGGCCTCTTTATTTAAACAGAGGCTTGTGCCTTGAGTTAGCCAGGCAGGCTGGAGTTTAGCTAGTGCTGATGCCTCAGAATTTGGTGTGCTTTTAGACATATTTCCAGAAATCTACCATTGTCATACATTTTGTAGCTATTTTACTTGTAATGTTTGCTTGCTTGCTTGCTTGCTTTATTTATTTATTTATTTATTTATTATTTATTTATTTATTCATGCTCTTCTTCCATAAAAGGGCTTAAGGTGGAGATTCTTTTTTTTTTTTTTTTTTTTTTTAAGATTTATTTATTTATTGTGTATACAGTGTTCTGTCTGCACACCAGAAGAGGGCACCAGATCTCATTATAGATAGTTGTGAGCCACCATGTGGTTGCTGGGGATTGAACTCAGGACCTCTGGAAGAGCAGCCAGTGCTCTTAACCTTTGATCCATCTCTCCAGCCTCCTCTTGTTTTGTTTTGATACTAGGTAAATTTAGACGAAAATACTTGTTAGGTAGGTAATTAGCAATTTTCAAATGTTGACCATTTCTGTTGTTGGGCTTAAGGACCATCAGTTTCAGAGTTTTCCCTCTGCTCTTTTGTGCATGATTTTTCAATATAAAACTTTTTCTGAAAGAAAAAGTAATGACTATGGTTCTGAGCAGAGGAAAACATGCCTGAGAGCTACCCTGCCCTGCCCTGCCCTGCCCTGCCCTGCCCTGTCTCAGCCAGTTCCTGGGGCTGTGCAGGCCCCACTGCGGACAGGAGGACCTTCCCGCTGTGCTGTTCAGTGGACTCTAGTGAGGTCCTGTGAAAGTCGACACAGGCGAGGACTTTGGGAGTGGGCTCTGTCACGCGGGAATGACCTCGAGGAAGTGCACTTACGGTGGTGACAGTGCTGAGAGCCGGAGGTCTGGAGATGCAGGGCTGACCTCTGGTGAGGCCCACAGCTCTCATCCCAGGAGAGCTGTGCAGGGGGAAGGCTAAGGACAGCATGTAATACTCGAGGAAATCACATTTCCTTAGCTGACTGGATTGTCTTTAGTCTGCCTTCATCTCTTCCTGACAAATAACGGAATGTCCGCTTGAAGGTGGTGGTGCGGGGCTAGGTCTTTGCATTTAAATCACTCTTGATTGCAATCCACAGAAGGTTTTTGGTTTTTTCCAAGTTTGCTTGTTGCTGAAATCCTGGCACAATCGGGTGGTAGTGGATGTTACAAACTAATGAGAAGTTTTGGGATCTTAAATAGCCTGCCTGCATGGTAGTGAAAGACATTGCAGCTTTCCCACTGCCTGGGGTCCAAGGGTAATCTCTAGGATCACTGCGAATGGCCTGAGAAGTCTGGATATGCTTTTGATGGACCTCTACCACCCCAAATTCATGAGGCCACCCACAGGAAGTCAGTGTGACCTTTTTGGTGAGGAGTGCTTGTCCCCCACTCAGGCCTTGGGAACCAGTGGCACCAAGGATGCTAGAAGAGCCATTACTGCTTGCCCACTGGGCACTTGGTGACTAATCCCGGCCTGAGGGGTCTAATGACTTTCCTTCATCACAGTGGTTCCTGGAAGTGCCTCTTGGCGTGGGAGCTCCTTTCTTGCCCTTGCTCATTTCCACCTCGCTGCTCTCCTTCCCACACCCCTTGTGTGCAGTAAAGTGGTGGGTACATGTGCATAACTGATTTGGGACTTGCGGTCATTCCAAGAAGGCCCCACAGATGGGAACATACAAGTTTTGAAGTGGACAGTGATTTGTGGAGCATTTGCTATACGCTCTAGCCTGACAGGATGATGAAGTGAGGAGGATCCAGGGGAACTTCCATGCCTGACACTCAGTGTCAGGAATGCACCCCGATCCTGTGCATGTGAGGCGAGCACTCTACCGCTGAACTGTGTCTTCAGCCTCTTGGTTTCTTAGATTAACCAAGTAATGGGAGGATGTTTGCAAATCTGACTTGAGCTGGGCCTGTGAGAACATAGCTTGCTTGTCCGTGCAGCCAGCCCTGCTCTCCCTGCAGTGTCTGCCCAGCTTCCGCTGCTGCTGCTGGTGGTGTTGGGCGTGTGCAGTGTCTGCGCTGGGGTCTGTGTGCTTGTGCTGCAGACATACTCACTACCACCCTCTTTCCTAATTGGGGTGAGTGTGTGTGCTTGTTTGCAGTGGCCAGGACAGATTGTTTTTGCCCTTGTGCCTAGTTAAGAGCTTTCAAAAATACAATGACATTTTTGATATATTGTTATAATAAATGCTTTATTGCTCTCTGATTTCCTTCCAAAATGCCTTAATTTTGTGGCCTGTGTCTCATTGGGTAGAAGCTTCCTCCACATGCAGTCTTTTATTTGCATTCATTCATTCATTCATTCAGTCAGTCATTCAGTCATTGTGTGTGATGTGTATGTTTGTGTGTGCACACATTCCTGTGTAAGCTGTGGTGTGGATGTGGAGATCAAAGGACAACTTATGGGAGGTGGTTCTCTCCTTCTACCCTGTGGGTTCCAGGCATTGAACCCAGATAGTCACATGGTGGAAAGTGCCTTTATCCTCTGAGTCTTGTTACCGGCCCCCATGTGCAATTGTGTGCACAGTTCGAGTAGAAAGGACTGACTCCTGCAGTTTCCTGTGACTGCAGAGAAGGCTCTGACGCAGGAGCTTACAGCTGTTCGGGAGATCTTGGGGCTGCAGAGAGGAACCCATAGTGTTGCCCAGGATTAAACTACCTAGCACCCTGTTTGACCTGGTGGCTCTAGTTCCTGGATTGAAGAGAGTTGCATCTCACAGCTTTCCAGCCAGTAGCATTGTACAGTGTTCTGTGCTGTGCGGACGTGGTGGACACTGCCATTTTCTGTCCCATGTTATATGTGACTTATTTTGCCTGTTTGACGGTAAAGATGTGCAATTTGAGATAAGCCTGGAGAGAATGAACTGAATAAAGGTATTCCTTCATCTTGAGTGTCTGGCTCCCTGGCATGCCCTCTGTGTCTTCTCTTTCAGAGGTTGTCTCCATTTCTTAACACCTGATCAACTACTGAAAGGAAACAAGGTGTCCCCAGCCCCTCTCCACCTTCCTTCAACCATTTGTGCAGCAGAGGCTGCCTGTCATGGATGGGTGGATGAATTGTCCATCCATCTCCATCTTCCATGTGGAACTATTTTTGTGAGACAGGGTCTCATGTAGCCAAGGATTACCTTGAACTCCCGATCTCCTGCTGGGATCACAGGTGTGCACCACTGTGCCTGGCCTCATAATGCTACTGTTTAGTTTGGAGGCTGGACGCTTTGACTCACACCAATGAAAGCTGCATAATTCAATCACTTGTGTGATTCAGTGTGACTATTTACCATTCCTTCTTTCTAATCCCCTTGACATGACAGAAGTGGATGCCTTTCAAGAAAATGGATGAATGATAACTCAGACAGCCTGAGAATACAATACTATAATAGAGACAAGGGAACATAGAGAATCTGAGCTCCTGGAGTTCTGGAACTGACAGTTCTGGTGCCTCCGAAGTGTTTGAGGGGCAGAGTGAAACAGGAGGACTGGCCACCAGCCTTCTAAGAAGCAGGTAGCCCCTGCCCACCACACACCTGGCAGCTGAACCCCCTTCAGTCTGCAGGACTTGCAGCTCCATAATGCTCTTCAGGCAGAAAGTGCAGCAGCAAGAGGCTTCTCTGAAAAGTCACCTCAGCTCCAAAGGAAAGACCTCAGATACCCGTGCAGTATGTGGCCACAGAAGTGACACCTTTCAGAGGACTCCAGTGAGAGGGTCCTGAGAACCAGGCTTCAGTTTCCAGATCACCAGGGAAGGCTTGTGTTAATGTCAGGAAGATCGCTGTGATCTCAGACTGCAGAACGGCTGGTGTGGGTAAACAGTGGCTGCACAAGGTGCCGTGAGCAAGCGGCATGAGAGACCATGGGACTTCTGATTCAAATTTTTGAAGGGAAGTTATTTCCAGGTCAATTAAAAGCTACTCTGAAAGACTTAGGAACTCTAAAAGTTTAGGAAATTACTTGAGGATATTCTTCAAAATGAGGGAGTAAAGCCAAGAAGGAGGAAGGCTTACAGAGGAAACCGAGGTTCCAAAATAAAAAGAGAAGGCACCAGGCATGTGGGATGTTTGCTCAGTCTTCAGCATTGGACACTGGACGCCACAATTATTGATAAGTATTGATAAGTACCACAATTATTGATAAGTATAACATAACAATGGAAACTAGCTGAGCAAGGAAAAGTCGACACAATAGAAACCACCATGACAGCTGTGACGCGTGTGTAAGTGTTCCTGACGGAAGGATTGTTGCATAGAGCCGTACCAGCAAGTCTAGTCATGTCAGATGGTGGTGATGGAAGATGGAGGATAAACGTGTTAGTGGAAGCTAAACAGTCCCCGTTGTATACAGAGAGGGGTGAGGAGTCACCCCAAAGAGAGAAAGGCTGAGAATTAGTATAGTAGAAAACAGCCAAGAGAACATGAAGTAGAAGGGACAGTGACAAAGAGCAGAAATTTACTAGACATACCCCAAATATATAACAGAGTCCAGAATTACTGCCCCTAAAGAAAAAAAAGTGTGCATGTGGGGGTAATCCTAGATAGTAGACAAGAAGACATAGACACTGAAACATTTTTCAAAGGAGTGTCATGTATGGCCTGGAGAGTTGGCTCAGCAGTTAAGAGTACTGACGGCTCTTGCAGAGGACCCTAGGTTCAGTTCCTAGCATCCATATAGCATCTTACAACCATCTAACTGCGGTTCCAAGGGATCTGATGACCTCTTCTGACCTCTGTGGGTACCAGGCATGCTCATGATACACAGACATATATTCAGGCAAAACACTAATAAATAATAAATTAAGCTTGGTGGTGGCAGTGGCGGGTGGCGGTGGCGCATGCCTTTAATCCCAGGACTCGGGAGGCAGAGGCAGGAGCATCTCTGAGTTTGAGGCCAGTCTGGTCTACTGAGCAAGTTCCAAGACAGTCAGGGCTACACAGAGCAACCCAGTCTTGAAAACAAACAAACAAACAAACAAATCTAAAAAAACAAGTTTCATGTAGCCCAGGCTGATCTCCAACTCATTGTGTAGCTGAGGATGACCTTGAACTCCTGATCCTCCTGCTTTCAATCTCCCAAGTGCTGGGACTACAGACAGGTGGATGCCACCATGCCTGGCTATTACTAAAAGAATACGCTCCCGCCACTTTGCTAGACTGGCATAAGTCCTTACTGCATTCTAAATCTTATACCCACAGATTAAGTGAAGCTACCACACAGATTAAGTGAAGCTACCACCACTCATCAAAGAAACCTTACCGTAAGTGGAGACCATCACACTAAATCGCAACTGGACACAAGGCAGAAATCAACCGATCTTAGGGAACCCAGCCACAATGGACACATGTACATATGGCCCTAGCAGCAGGACTACAGCAACAGGGGTTTTATAAATACGGAGAATGAGCAATCCTTTTAAAGCATCTACTCCCGAAGAGTTTGGACTTCCAGGTAAAGGAAGTACATCTTTGATGGCACGGGAAGTCAAGCGGCTCATAGCAGTGGAGACTCAAAATGACCCGGGGTTTAAGTTTCTCCTGGGCCCACAACGATCTCTGCTCCTGGTTTTGTGGTTCCGCCCTTGCCCTGGCAATGCCCTGACTTTGCTGGGAGACTGATAAAGCTGTGAATGCAGCACTGTTCATAGCCAAAGCAATTAGGTATTTTCTGAATCTCAGAGAGACTAGCCACCTGTGCGTGCGTGCGTGTGTGTGTGTGTGTGTGTGTGTGTGTGTGTGTGTGTGTGTGTGTGTATGCATGTTGTGCGAGAGCTCTTCTGTTCTCAATGCCTCACCATTTTGTGCTGGGTTCCAAACCTATTTGTCATTCCTCTCTGCCAGCTCCTAGTGCCCTCAGAGGATCCAGTCTCACACTACAGCCCCTGTAGTGATAGGACTGGCCCAGCAGCTATTGGGGCCCCCAAGGCCCTTGCTTCAGGTGGCTTTGTCACAGTCCTCGAAGGTGACAGCTTGCTCTGATGCTAGTGAGCAGCAGTCAGTTCTGAGCACAGGCATCCTATTTTTCACTGGCTGTGAGCTGAGCCCTGCATAAGCCCACAAGTACGATCTCAGATCAGTCTCAAAACCCATTCTTGGGAACCCATCTCCATCTCTGGTACTAATTCCATGTGACCATAACTGCCCTCATAGGAGCAGGGAAGGCTTGAGAGAACCTGTAACTTCCTGTGGAGATGGGATAGTTCTAACGAATACCCTCAGGAAGGGTACCCAAGAATGTGGGTGAGCTGGCAGGGAACGAAGTCCTTCCTAAGACAGGAGTGGGGACCCTAATGGAGAGGTCACGTGTGGTTTTAGCTCAACAGAAACCAGAGACGTTTTCCTGGGTTGTCAGGATAGGAGATGGTCTGTGTTTATTAGGTAAGAATGAGGAAGCAAGGAACTGAGCTGCCATAGGGACAGAGCCCTCCCCCAGCACACCTCGTGGGTACCTGTGGGGACGGGTGGTGCTGTTAAATTTGCTGAGAAGCCTGCGCGCACAGCTGGACTCAACAGTCAGCTGCTAAGAAGCCCTTTATGGAGGCAGTTTGAGGTGTCTATAGTACTACTCTCTGGGTGTCTCTGAGTCCTCCGTGAGGAAGCCAGCTGAGTTGTCTCTAAACTCACTGGTAGGTGGGCCCCCTCTCCCCTCACTGGGTTGAGGCTCTGTAACCATGGCCAAGTGGATGGACTGAGGAAGACTGGTAAATCAGAGCCAGGAAAAAGATGGTACGTCCTCCTCCGGTGTTACTCTGGCGACCTCTGCTGGCGGACAGAGCCTAAACTTGAGGCAGCAGGCAAGGGAAGAATCCAGCGCGGCAGCAAGACAAAGCAAGGTGGAGTTAAAGCAAAGACGTGTGCTGGCAATCGGTGCCAGAAAACTCATGTTAAGTTGGTGCATCCTTGACACTTAAGAAAGATAGGAAACTCATACTGGCCCAGCTCACTGCTAAGCACAGGTGCCAACTCCCAAGGGGGTTAGAGGGGTTAGCAGCATACTAAACACAATGCATTGGAACCATAGTGGGTATATACGGTGCCAGCTGGCTGTCCACCAAGAAGGATGGTTCTTCCTTTACGGCACACTTGCTGAGCTATGGCCCTGATAGCATGTCACTAGGAACGCTGGGCCAAGCTATGGCCGTGTCCTTTGTCCCTTCCTGCTTTCGGTTGCAGATGGACGCTGCACCAGGCGCAGGTCTTCTGGACATCAGGGCTCTCGTCTTGGCCGGTCACACAAACCACACCTCTACTTCCGATTGTTGAACTAGTGTTTGTGTTTCCCACAGACCAGCCTGCACTGAGGTCCATTTCTTGCTTTACTTCTGTATCCTTTCCCTTCCCACAGAGTGGGACCTGGGACACTCCAAAAGATGCATTTACCTCCAGAAACCATCTCCATGTCCATTCCTCTGAGAAGCCAGCCTGCCTTGGCCATGGAAGCCTGCACTTGTGAGGCCCTGGGTGGGAGTGTCTGCTTCACAGCGTTATCTCCATCTTCTAGCAGCTGCTGAGATCGGCTCCGCTTGCTTTCCCCAGTGTTTTCTCTCCCAGACCCCAATAAAATTGTCCTTGAGTTAAAACAAAAATCCACAACCTATAGATGCCCTCCTGGGGCACAGCCAGACTTGCAGTCTAGTTAACTGATCCCAGCTCCATCCCCCAGCCCTGAGCTTCGCTGTGGTATCTTTTGGAGCCGGCTCTGAGACTGGATTGCTGTTTCAGTTCGACTTGACCATTCCCTTGCTTGCCATTGAAGACACAGCTTCAGGAGGATCTTCAAGGAAGATCTGTAGGTTTTTTATCTGCAAGACGGAGTGCAAAATGGCTCATCTGAGGGGGTAGTTAGAAAAACTGGGCAGGAGCCAGATGTGGTATTTCATGCCGGGAACCCTAGCACTTGT